TATTTTTCTAATGGACTAAATGGTGCCCAGTGAGGCCATGCTTTATAAATACACGTGGAGTCAACTCATGATAAGATTTTTTTTTATGAAATGATTAGGGACAACATGGAAGATAGACAGACCTTATAATAAATTTCTTCATGGGTAAAACTAAGGAGGTAAACTAGATGGCCTCTAAGCAGCTTTCAACAATAAAATCTCCTTTAAATAAATCTGATCTGTAGGAAATAGTATTAAAGGAAGGTTTTAATATCATTCTGTCCAAGGCACTGTCACAAGGTCACTTGGCCAGATTGGAATTTTCAGCTTATAAACTATCCTGGGTGAAAAGGATCTGTGGTCTTGGGCCCTGACAAAGGATACCCCTGGCATATATCCCTCAGTGAATGTAAGGAGAGGGGCCATGGGCCACAGGTAAGCTGACTGCCTCTCCAGCTACACCTACATATAAGAGGCCCTCCATTTTGTCCTAGAGGCACTTAGCCCCTTTCAGTGCCTGGTAGATCTTGTAGATTGGGTTTCTCTTCCTGATGGACTTGTGTCCTGGTGTCGGCATCCTTATGTCTTATCAAGAAGGAAAAAAAAAAAAAAGAGAAAATTAAGTAGTTAAGTGGCAGAGAAGGAGGCCTATACTGGGACCCCCTGACAGCCCCTTTCTCCCATTCAGAATGGAAATAATCTGTCTGGAGTATCCCTAGATGCTCAGACATGGTGAGCCAAGTTTTCAGTGATCTACCAAAGACTGCTTCCCCCTGCCGGCTTCCATCATTGTTTGAAATCAGTGTTTCACCTATAGCTCTGCCTGAAAAGTAGAAATGGGCTCTTTCCTGGTGGGTATCTGGTCCCAGTAACTGACTCAGTGCTTGCCCACCCTTCTGTTCCGTGACACCGAAAAGCTAGCACAGGTCAGGAAATGAGATGCCGTCAGGTCAAGCAGCGTGGCCCTCTGGAACCTCTTGAGAGCTTTTTGAAGGCCAGAAGGACCTTCCTGAGGGCTTGACCACAGTTGTCTCCCTGGCGCACAGGGTCAGCTCTCTGCATCTGTATACCCCTGGAGAATGTCACACACTTTCCAAGTTTACATCTGATTCCTGGTATCACTCCTTATTATTGCCCTTCTCAATCTCTTCTTCACCTTCACCCACTGACATGACACGCGAGGAGGTAGAAAGTGGGTAGATGTGACCATCATTTCCAACACCCTTCTCAGCCAAGCAGCTGACTTGGGAGAACACCACATCGGACAAGGATGCTTGTAGGCATAACTATTTAAACTGAAAGGCGTCCAGGGTCCTGTGGCACATAGGGCCTTGCTCTCAGACTAGCAGTGTCAGTCTCTCTGGGGCACATGTTGGAAGGGCAGAATCCCAAGCTGTCCTCCAGATCTACTGAATGAGAATCTACATTTTAACAAGATCCTGATTTTAACAAGATTTGCAGGCACATACAAGTTTGAGAAGTGCTGTTCTGTGACAGTGGTTCTTGACCCTGACTGCAAATTCAAATAACTGGGAAGCTTTTAAAAATACCAGTGCTGAGTCCCCATCTCCATAGATAGATTTAATTGGTCTGGGGTGGACCTGGGAGTTAGTATTCTTAAAGTTCCCCTAGTGATTTTGTAATGTGCAGTCAAGATTGAGCAGATACTTGCATATTACCTGGGTCTTGACTGATACTTCTTGATCACTTGGTTAGTTGGCTGGTGACTCCCAACCGGGCCACAGTGTGGCTCAGAAATTTCAGAAGCAGAGATTCTAATCAGTTCTAATCTCAATTAGCCTAACCTATTTCACTCTGTAAGTCCTTCAGGAACTACACCATCTCTGTCAGTTTGCACTCAGTTAGGTGGTTGTTACTTTTAATCACCTTCGGCTGGGGAAGCTGGTAATTTATGCGTGAAGTTGAAGGGGATGATTGGAATATCCACATAGAAAAGAAGGTTAGTGATTTTTCCTTGGAAAGAATGAAATTAACAGCAGTAGTGACTAACTCTGTGTGCCAGACTCTATACTTGGCAGTTGACACTTCCCAAGTCATTTATGATCCTCCAGAATCCCAGGAGGAGGGTACTAATATTGTCTCCACGATGTGTAAGAGAAAACTGGAACACGAAGACATTGAGTGCCTCGCCCAGTGAAACAGGTCTATAAGTGGTAAGGCCAAGGTAGGAACCCAGGCGATCAGGCACAGAACTTTTCTCCCAACCGCGGCCGCCCACTGCATCACTAAAGCACTCCTTTGAATTTCTGCTCTCATCCAAGGAAGCTCAGGCTGTGGGAAAAGGTGAGAAAGTAGAATTAGCCCTGAATCTGGACAGAGTAGGTGGCCACTTACGTGTTTCCATAGATCCAGAACAGAGGGTTTAGAGAGGGACTCAGAGATAGAGGGACCGCACAATGTGTTGTCCAAGCCTAGACAATGTAAAATTCTGTTCACACTGGCACAGCAGGCATTAACCAGGACTGTCCTAGGCAAACTGAGCTGTGCAATTGCCTTTCTTATAGGTCGTCTCATCAGCGAGGAGTTGAAGTCCATTAGTACAGGATACATGGTTGGTTTGTGGCTGGGTGAAGGACACACCCTAGTTTTCTTGATTCTTGTTCCGATGCCCTTCTCCTCTTTTGTATTGCCTGCCCTAATTTTCATCTCTTTTTCGACAACTCTCTCACCAGTGTACCATATCATACCCTCCTATGCTCCTAAACTCCCTGTCCAACACTTTAAAACCAACCAGTAGAGTCACTCCTTGACCACTGTCTCCAGAACAACTTTGCACAAAGTCCCATTTAATGCCTAGAGAGAAGAGGCCTTGAATATTCTCTATTTGTGTTGATTGATCCATTTAATATTGGGGAAGCTAATGAAAATGGGGGATTCAAAGATGGATAAGACATACTTCTACCCCTTAAGAAACTCAGGGTCTAGTGTGAAAACAAATCTCGGGGCAGACCAGGGGAGGCTTCCTAGAAGAGGTGAGTTGAAATGAATGAGTGGGTGTGAGACAGGCAAAGACTGGGGGAAGTGAGAGAGCCCATGGAGGTGAGAAACATCAATGTGTAGGGAAAACAAGCGGTTCTGTGCTGCTGGGGCACAAGTTTAGAAGAAGGAGAGTAAGAGTCAAGGCAGGGACTGGGTCACAGTGTGCCATTCCAAGGGCTTGGATTTTCATCTGATGAGGGAAGCCTTACAGTGCTTTCAGCGGAGTAGGACACGGGATAATGTGTTCACATATATAGCTCTGTTTGGTTTTAGGTGATTTAAGTGTTCACTGCCACTGGAATTTTAAATGATCTAATTTCTCTTTTTAATTTCTTAGTTAACCATCTATAATTACGATCAGTTCAGAATTTAACACATTTATGATCCTATTCTGATGCTATATAGAACTTTTTACCCATTCTATTCTTAAGGTGTTAAAAATCTAGAGAGAAGAGAGAGACGCATAGCCACTGACGGTAGTGTCCATCGTTCACATGAACATTCACATATGCATGATGCAAATGAGGGTCCACATGCTGATGCCAGCCTGTTTGCTCATTGGGATCCAACTGTAGTGGAAAATTGGATATAGCACTTAAACAATGAAGCTTATTAAAAACAGCTTTGTGTTGAAAATAGTATTGATTTTAAAAGTTATTGTTCTCTAAGCACTGAGTAATCACTTTTTTTCTCTGCACACTTTCTGCCAAGTTTTAAATGGATTAGTGTCTTGCTTTCTTTCTTTCTTTCTTTTTTTTTTTAATATAGACTTGGGGACGGCATCAACAATCTACCCAGAACTTCAAGGAGCCAAAACTAGTTAGAATTAGATGTCAGCACATCTGAAATGTCAACACATTTTTTTCTGGATAATTTCCTGTGATTTGAAATCCTGATTTTTTGAGTCATTTTTAGTATTCCATTTTTTAAGTGTTTGCTTTCAAGGAGGATATTGCCTCTGAGGCTTTCTCAACCAGTTAAATTCTCCAAGAGCAGAAAATATGTGAGAAAGCCAAGTTGCATGCTTATTTCTCCAGGGTCTCAGTCTCCTCTCAGAAATACAGACTCTTTTACTGAACCTTCTGAAACTGTCGTTTTTTTTTGCATACACAGGCTTATGTCTTCACACCAGTTCATAGATTGGGTGGAAGATGCCACTTCTATTTTAATAGAACAGAATGGCATGTGGGTGTGTGATGTGGGGGACTGTGTGTGACTCTTGCCTTCCTTATATACAAAATCAGAGTGGAGTTCCTGCACTTCTCCTTGGATAGGTAAAAAAATCCTGGATATTTTGCAACCTGACTTTTTTGTGGTTACTTTTCTGACAGAAAATATTCTGGAGGTGAGGGCAGTAGGAGAAGCAGGGAGAGAATAAAATCTTCCACTTTGAAATCAACTAAGTTAAGATTGCTTTTTTTCTATGAAGAAGAGACGTGGTTCTGCCTACCTATAATTAGAAAGCTTAGCTTACTGGCATATTCACATTGCCTAAAACCCCAAGTGAGAATTTCAGTCTCAAGTACAGGGTGTGATTCCACCTGGTGAACACTTTTTGAGAAGCAACCTCATGAGAGAGGGATGGGAACACATCAGGGAAGGCACTGCTGAGGGTGGAAGAGCTGAGAGGGTTATCTGGATCCATTTCTTTCAAAGAGGAATTCTTGGCATTTAATAACTTGTGAACCTCAAGTCCTCACTTAAGGGAGGGAGAGACCTTGAGTCTGCTTTTTCATGCAGGGGTTGGTGATACCCGTGCTCTCTGGGTCCTAAGCTCTCTAAACAAGGTGATTTTTGGCCTTAAAGCTAAATGAGGTGTTGTTTGGAGGAGGAGGGGAGATAATTTGATGGGGTCCTTTGAGAAAGTATGAACTTCCCCCAGGCTTTTCCTTTGCCTGCTTTGGACAAAAGCATCAAACATCACTGCCTTCTGCTTTCCTGGTTTCTCCTTCTGTTTCCAGGAGGAGTCAAAAGAGCATAACGAAGAAGTGCTTCTGTAGGTAAGAGAGAAATGAACTGACCCCATTTCCAGTGGTTGAGCTTCTCTCCAAATAGGTAGATGCCGACGCTAAAGATGTAGCTGAGAGAGAAGAAGGCTGCTAGACCCACTGGGCTGAGTTTGGCAAACACGGGATACACCCATGTACCCGTCTCAGAGTAGATCCATAGAACCCTGCAGAAAATGACAAATCACAATGATTAGGACAGCAGGGGAAAAAAGCCATAGTCTCTTCAAGATCACTGGTGTTCTGGAGTCCAGGCAGAGGAAAAGAAGCCACAGGGGACACTTAACAGCCGAGGTGTTTCCCGAACCTACAGAAGTGAGTATTTTCTGGGTAAATACACTGATTCATTGAGACACTCTGTTTCAGGCGCTGGGCTTGGCTATTTTACCTAATCCATTAAAACTCAGTGATGGTAAAAGAATATGGGAGAACACTGAACACATCATTAACCAAACAAAATGTATAAGAACATGAAATATTTCTTTCCCTGAAAGATATGACCCGCTGAGACATTGAACTTGCTAAGATGGTGCCCATTTGCTCGCTCTCAGCCAGACAAGTGGGGTTTGCTTTTCTGTGCCTAAGAGTTAAGTGTAGCTTTCCATTAGCTCTCCAAGCCTGTTGGGGTAGGAGAGGCAGAGATTGAGCATTATTACTATAATACAGTAGACCTGGGGTTTAATTGTGGGCCTAGATTTCAGCTCGTGGAAATAGCCAAGGATAGAGCATTAAGTAGGAATAGATGGATCTACAGGAGGCTCAGATCTTTCTCATGTGAGGATAGAATATAAATCATTTCTGTCAGCCAAGAGAAGGAAAAGAAATGCTAGGAGAGGAGCCACAATGTCTAAGTGAAGCCTAAAAATGCAGTTTGCTGGAAACAAACTGCACCGGAAGATGCCAAAGTCTGAAATAACTTTTAAAATTAAATACGGGGAAGATGATGTATCAGCTACAGTTTATAATCGGTTAAGAGTATGGAATATGGAACCAGGCTTCTGTGATTCGAATCCTAGTTGTGCTACCTACTAGCTGTGTTACCTTCACTAATTTATTCAACTTTTCTCTCCCCCTACCCTCATGTATAAAGTAGGGGTGCAAACAGCATACAGCTTATAAGGCTATTGTAAAGATTAAGGGAGTTAATTTAGCACATGTAAATTACATAGAACAGTGCCTGGCAGATTGTAATCATTTTACAAGAGTTTAAAAGCTTCTCTCCTCTGAGGGAATACACAGTGGGTGTCTCCTCAGCAATCTTTCTTTGAGGCTATTCATCTCTTGTAAAAATTAGGATAGCCTAGGTTATGCTTCAGAAACAACGTTCATATTTGGATATCCCAGGTTGTCAAAGGAGTTCAGATGGAAGAATGAAATTCTGTGCTTAATGAAACTTTCAGAACCCAAGTGCAATCTTGGTTGTTTCAGATACTTTAAGTTTGTCAAGTGCTTTGTTGGAAGAGAGGGGCTAACATCAGGGCCAGGACTAGGGTGAGGCAAGGGAGGCACCTATGGCATAAAATTTAAGAAGTCATCTCTGTGCATCAAAGGACACCGTCAACAGAATAAAAAGGCAACTTATAGAATGAGGAAAATATTTGCAAATCATGCATCTGATATGGGATTATTATCCAGAATATATAAAGAACTCCTAGAGCTCAACAACAAAAATAAACAATCCAATTAAAAATGGACACAAGACTTGAAGAGACATTTCTATGAAGAAGATATACAAGTGACCAACAAACACATGAAGAGATACTTAGTGTCACTAATCGTTAGGGAAATGTGAATCAAAACTATAATGAGATACCACTTCACACCTATTAGGGTATCTTCTATCAAAAAACCCCCAGAGAATATCAAGTGTTGAAGAGGGTGTGGAGAACTTGGAACCCCTGTGCACTGTTGGTAGGAATGTAAGATGGTGTAACTGCTGTGGGAAACAGTATAGCAGTTCCTCAAAAAATTAAACCTAGAATTACCATATGGTCCAGCAATTCCATTTCTGGGTACATACTCCAAAGAATTAAAAGCAAAGACTCAAAGAGATATTTGTACTCTCATGTTCATAGCAGCATTATTCACAGTAGTTAAAATATGAGAGCAACCCAAGTGTCCATTTAAGGACGAACAGATAAATAAAATGTGGTACAGTTATATACACACAATGGAATATTATGCAACCTTTAAAAGGAAGGAAATCCTGGGACTTCCCTGGTGGTGCAGTGGTTAAGAATCGCCTGCCAATGGTGGGGACATGGGTTTGAGCCCTGGTCCGGGAAGATCCCACATGCCACGGAGCAACTAAGCCCGTGCACCACAACTACTGAGCCTGTGCACCACAACTACTGAGCCTGTGCTCTAGGACCTGCATGCCACAACTCCTGAGCCCGCATGCTGCAACTACTGAAGCCTGCGCACCTAGAGCCCGTGCTCAGCAGCAAGAGAAGCCAGCACACCTCAACGAAGAGTAGCCCCCGCTCACCGCAACTAGAGAAAGCCCATGCACGGCAACGAAGACCCAACGCAGCCAAAAATAAATTAAAAAAAAAAAAAAAGGAAGGAAATCCTGACATATGCTATAACTTGAATGAAACTTGAGGATATTATGTTAGGTAAAATAAGCCAGTCACAAAAGGACAAATACTGTATGATTTCACTTATATGAAGTACTTAGACTCATCAGATTCATAGAGACAAAGTAGAATGGAGCTGGGGGGAAGGGGCAAATGGGGAGTTTGGGAAGAAAAACATTCTGGAGAAGGATAGTGGTGATGGCTACACAACAGTGTTAATGTCCTTAATGCCACTAAACTGTATACTTAAAAATTGTAAATTTTATGTTACGTGTATTTTACCACAATAAAAAAGAAAATTTAAGGAGGCATCAGTCTCAGGGTTCTGCATGTGTAGTATTTATTGTCCCTTGGACCCTAGTCCTGGCCCTGCTGGTATCACTCTGCTGCCCCAGACTTGTCTAGATGCTACTCTCATGTACTCAAAACTGCACTAGACTGAAAACAAGTAATAATTGTTATCATGGTTACTAATATTAGAATTCTGTGAGATGTGCATCCATGGATGCATTTTAGAAGGATATCCACAGCACTTCTTTCCTGCATGGCTGTCTCTCATGACAGGCCGGAGGAAGTATAAGAGACAGAAAGTAAATACCCTCAAGTAGGTAAGGCCAGGAGTTTGGGGTCAGCGAGGAGATCTAAATACGCTCCAAACGGGTTGCATTAATTAGTTCACTTTGTTTTCTTTATATACTTGAAATTAGGGCTTCCTAGTTTCCATGCACATTTATGTAAGATAGTCTACAAATAAGGACATTTCTCTGGAAGCCTGGAAAGTTTCTGTTTATTTACTTCAGTTTTGTTTCCTCCAGCGTAAGATTTGTAAAGGAAAGTTCCTGAAGTAAGCTAATGAAGTCTGCACTTTCACAGAGAAGGTGCAAAGAAAGTTATAGGTGTGTTAACTGACAGTGGGAAACTTACTGCAAATACAATTAGAGCGTGAGGCATGATTGCAGTCATTTAATGAAGGGCAGTCAGCAGAGAGGCCTGAGTGCAGAGATAGTCATGGTCAGGTGCTATCACCTCTTTACGGCTTCTGGAATATATGTTAAAAGGGGAGAGAGAGAGAGAGAGGGAAAGGGAGAAGGAAGGAGGGGGGGAAAGAAGGAAGGGAGTGGGGGAGGGAGAGAGGGAAAGGCACTCAGCACGTGTGCAGCTGAACTGTCCTTGTCCTCCATCTCAGTCAATGTCAGCTCTTCCCTAGCTGCCGTATATGATCCCATGGAATCATATTTAAATACTTCTGCAGTGGGGGCTTCCCTGGTGGCGCAGTGGTTGAGAGTCCGCCTGTGGACGCAGGGGACACGAGTTCGTGCCCTGGTCCGGGAAGATCCCACGTGCCGCGGAGCGGCTGGGCCCGTGAGCCATGGCCGCTGAGCCTGCGCGTCCGGAGCCTGTGCTCCGCAGCGGGAGAGGCCACAACAGTGAGAGGCCTGCGTACAGCAAAAAAAAAAAAAAAAAATTTCTGCAGTGCACTCATTTCATGATCTCAGTCCAGGCTCCTTCATCTCCTAAAGGTTTCTATAATTGTCTGCTCACTGGGCTTTCTTGCTCACATCAATCCACTTTCCACAATGCAGTAACCCAATAATCTCTCTAAAAGAAAAAAATCGTTCATGGTGCTCCCCTGCTTCCAGTGGATCCACGTTGCTTTAGGAAAATACCTAGCTCCTTCCCCTGGCCTACCTGGCCCTGCCCTGCCCACCCATCCACCCTTCCAGTCTCAGATCTGCAGTCTAACCCTTTCTGTTTCTTGAATGAACCCAGCTCTGCAGCTTCTGGTCTTCACCCATGCTGTTGTCTCTGCTTGGAACACCTCTGCCTTTACCCTTCCTAGGACATACTTCCTGCTCTGTCCCTGGCTGAATCTTACTCATGCTTTGAATTTCAGCATAAAAGTTAATTTCTCCGGAAAAAATTTCCTGACCATTCTTCCCACAACCCACATTTGGTTAGGTTGTTATGTGCTTCCCCTACCATGAGTTTACCCTTGTTGCATATTTGACTATCTTTCTCCAGAGCTTCTGGAAGCTCTGTAAGGACTGGGATTTTATCTATTATGTGCATCTGTTTCCCAAATGCTAGGAACATGGCAGGTTCTTTAGTTTTAAATAAATGGCTGTTTGGGTGGCACTACCAGCACCTATGGTTCCTTTTAACTGCTGTTAGCTGTGGCTTCTATAGACAGGTCTCAGCTGCCTGACCCGCCAAGAACACTGCAGCCTCTGAAAACTGGAACGTGTAACCAGTAGCCTTGCAAACTGTAGTTAATTGGATGCTCACATTAATGGAATCACCATCTTCCCAATCCACCAGCTGAAAATTCTGAGAATTATCCTTGATGCTCCCTTTTCATTTGCCCACTACACACCAATTAATCCATAAAACCTATTCTGTTACACCAACAGTGTGTCTCAGGTATGTCCCTCATTCCTAATTGTACAGCTGTATCCCTCTTCAGGCTCTTCTTATTTCTAACTTGTGTAACAGGCATTTTGGGTAGCTGAGATTTGGGCAGGAAGGATGAAAAGTGTAGACAAGCATTTCCATTCTTAGCCCTCCACCTCCACCCCTCTTCAGTTTGC